GATGCCATGGCCAAGATCGAAGAACTAACCGACAAGGTATCCGCATGGCAGACAGAGCATGCCGCGGCAGTGGAACGAGGTGATTCCTTGGAGGCCAAAGGCAAGGAGGACACTGGCAATTTCACGTCCCAACTGGAGCAGCTGCGTGCTGAGCTTTCGACAGAGCAGGAAGGGCGCTCTTCCGATGCTTCGAAGGCTGCTGCGGTCGTGGAAGGACTTAATGCCACGATCCAGCGCTTGCAGCATGACCTGTCTGATGGGGATGCTGCCCGGGAGCAGTTGTTGAAGGAGGCTGCTAGGCGGTGCTTTCGAAAGTTGTTTGATCTTCCTTATGGTCTATAGTCTATAGACGTTTGTCCGAGCATTCTTTCTGGTAGCCTTTGAACTACATCTCAGGCAACTGACAAGGCCAACAGCCTATCGCACGAGCTGGATGATTGGAAGTCTGAGTTTGCCAAAGCCACAGAAGCAGCACGGGGAGCCTCCGAAGAGGCTGCCAATGAGAAAGCCCAACTTCTCCAGCCGCGTGGCTGCTTTTTTGGGGCTTCCCGGGCTTTTCGGAAGAGTTTTTTATCAGGAATTCTACGAGGGGAGCAAGACATGATACGAAGACACTGGCACCTACGTCTGCCCTGAGCCCTAAAGCCTCAAGGCCCCTTACGCCCTAAAGCCGTGCATCCCTAAACCCTAAAGCCTAAACCCAACAGCAGACCTTCCGAGGTCCTTAGAGCAGTGGCGCGCCGAATGCGCCGAGGAAGTGTCACTCAAGGAGGCCAAAGAAAAGGAGGCCACCCAGTTGGCGGCACAGGCGCGACGGTTTAGGGTTTAGGGTTTAGGGGTTTAGGGTTTAGGGGTTTAGGGTGTAGGGGTTTAGGGTTCGGGGGTTTAGGGTTACGGGTTTAGGGCATCAGCTGAAGTTAGGGACCCTAAACTGAGCACTAAATTGGTTTTGAGGGCAAAGGGGTTGGTGGGACCCCGTCAGTCGAGATCATGGCAGGTTGTAGATGGGCTAAGATCCCTTTTCGTGTTTAGGGTTCAGTAAGGATTGGGGGCTGGGGGCTCTAAACTTGAGCTGTAGGGCTTCATGTTCAGTTTAATTGATTTGAACATGTTCAAACGGTTCAAAGATGACCCCTTCTCTCAGCTTAAACAAACTTTAGCGTTTAAACATCGATGCGCTGAAACTAACATGTACAGTCTAAGCAAGACCCCCGCCCGACCCTGGCGGGAAGCGCCAATTGAGTTTCATGTTGGGGGGTCTAGGGTTTAGGGTTTAGGGTTCCCTGGAACAGCGATTCTGGGTATGTGCGAGAATCCTTGTCATAACAGTTGATGGACAAGTGCCTGCAAGATCTTCAGGCAAAGGGATCTACCACAATTCTCGCAGTTTCAAGATCAGTTCGTTGCGGGCAGGAATTAGCAGTGCAATCTACTTTAAACACCTGTTGAGACCCTATGGCACTCTTCAAGATATTCTTCGAAGGATCCCTGCATAAGAGCAAGATATACCGATCTCTCGGAAGCCTTTCTAGGTGGATGAGCTCAAAGTGGCGAAGGCCATCCCGGTATTCTTGCTCAAAGGGAGTTCGGGAGTTGGACTTCGGGCTTCAGTGTGCGTCAGTTTTTCGAGGGCATTAAGAGTTTTAGCTTGAGGGTTTGCCCAGCTCTGAACTGTATACCCTAGCCCTATAGAGCCTAAACCCGGAAATCTTTCAGGCTGTGCAGGAATTTCAGGAAGCAAGCTGTATTGTGAGGCCCTCCAGAAACGGAACTCCGATGTCCATAGCCAAGGTTTCCACTATCCATAGCCATAACCAAATGAAATTCTTGCAAAATCCGACAACAAATTCCCAACGTCTTCATACACGCTGAGAGAACTGCAACGGCGCTTGCAGGACCATTGCAAAGTCCTGTGAGGCCCTTTGCAAGACCGTTGCAAACCGCCACATTATTCTCAAACCCATGTAAGGCCCATGCAAAATCCATGGCAGCGTATCCTTGGGCTTGCTACTACATGAGTCATCGGGAGAGGACACGGTTTTCTCACCGAGAGGAGCGCCTGCTGGACCGCCTACCTTTCAAAGGCTCTATTCAGCCGTCTGTGAAGTTGTACACCGCCCCCACCCCCCCACCCAACCAGATACGTAAGCCCTACCCACGAGATGCTGAATCCCTATGGTCCTAAACCCCTACCCCTCATTCCTTTTATGCAGCCTAAAGCCCAAGAGCTCTAAAGCCCTAAACCCTAAAGGACTAGAGCCTCAAAGCCCTTAAGCCTATAAAGCCTAAAGCCCTAAATCCCGTAAGCCTGAAAGCCTAATTCTAGAATCCTAAGCCAGAAAGCCCGAACGCGTTAACGCCCTAAACCCTAAACATCCCTAAACTCTATAGCTTCAGGAGGAGCTTCTGGGCAACTCGGAGACCGCAGCCGCCGAGCTCTCGAAGAAGCTGCAGGTGGTTTATATCTAAGATTTTCTGATGTAGGCTTGAGGGAATGGGGGTTTAGGCTTTAGGAAATGCGGTTTAGGGGTTTGGGGTTTATAGGGCTTGAGGTTTTTTCAGTTTGGGACCGGGATAACGAATCCATAATCGTCTGATAGGTCTGAATAGTAGCACGGTCCCTTCATCCACCCGATTCAAAGGTAGAAGCCCTATATAGCTGTAGTTGTAGTCTGTACTAAACCGCGAAACCATGTTTTGATCACTGCAGCCCCTCTGTGCTCAGGAGTCCAATAGTGTTTAGTGTGGCTTTTTCCTTGTCCACTCTCGTTTACAGGTTTAATACTGTTGATGGTCGAAATCCTGCATTACCTTAAGGACCCTGGGAATTATGGTATATTCCTTATTAGGGGTAATGCAGGATTTATATCATCAACCGCATTATTGCTATTTTCGTAAGTTCGGCACAGGGCGAAACTTTGGGGGTCTTTACACCAATGGAGGCACCTAGGCGCTTTGTATTATAGCAGGATTTCCACGGTGTTTTTGTGCTTGCAAGATCTCAATCATGGTGATGCAGGCTGTCTTGAGATTGTCTGAGGGTTTTTGAGGTCTCATATGAGGCATGACGAGGTTGCTGTGTGGCTTCACTTTTGGTTTCGGGGATCGGGTCAGCTGGAAGGACAGAGCGAAAGGCAGGCCGCTAAACCTTCCTCAAGCCGTTCTCGCTCCCACCGTTGCAGCGACCAGTACCCCTACCGCTGCTGCTACTGCCTTTGCAGACCCTAAAACCCCTAAACAATAAACCCTATGAGCCCTAAAACCCCATAAACAATAAACCCTATGAGCCCTAAGCCCTAAACCCTAAACCCTATGAGCCCTGAAGCACTCAACCCTAAACCCTATGAGCCCTGAAGCACTCAACAATAGACCCTATGAGCCCTAAACCCTAAACCCTATGAGCCCTAAACCCTAGACCCTAACCCCTAAACCCCTAACCCTAAACCCTTAAACCCCTAAACCCTAAACCCTAACCCCTAAACCCCTAACCCTAATTCCTAAACCCTATGAGCTCTATAAGCCCTGATGCACTCAACAATAAACCCTAAACCTTATAAGCCCCTGAAGCCCCCATGGTGAGGAGCTGCAAGCCGAGAATGCTGAAGCCCGAGCATCCCAGCAGCAGACGGCAGAGGAGGCGGATCCCGACCAAGGGTTGCCCGAGTGATTGAGGGTTTAGGGGTTGGGGTGCTAAGGGTTTAGGGGTTTGAGGGTAAAGTTTAGGGTTTAGGGTTTTGGGGTTTTGGGAGTTTTGGGGTTTAGGGTTTTGGGGGTTTAGGGTTTAGGGCTTTAAAGGATTGTGTTGTGTTTACGGCCCCAAAGTTTAGGGTCCTGCTAGGGCCGTAGAGGGCTACAGAGTTACAGGCTTAAGGTCAGGGGTTATGCAGTTGTCGGGTGTATGGGTTAAGGGTCAGATCATGCATGTTTAGGGTTTCTAGGCTCCTGAGTAGTACCCTTTTGCCCTTTTTATTTTGGGTTCTCCTTGTCAAAACCGAATAGTTAGGACAAAGGGTACCCTTATTATTTAGGGCTCACTCAGGAACCTAGGTTTATAAAGGGTTGTAGAATTATCGGCTGGAGGGTCTAGGGTTATACAGAGCTACGGGGATTGGGGTGTGGGTGTTATATGTGTATAAACAAACAAACAAAGAAGCAAATACATACAGTTACATACATAAAGAAGTCAATACATAAGCAGATAAAATGAGTATACATATATAGGTATAAACCAAATAAACAAATAGATACATACATTGCTAAACTCAGCAGTATGCACATAGTCCATGTTGTGCATTTATTATATTTCCAGAACTCTCTCTCTCTCTCTCTCTATCTATCTATCTATCTATCTATCTATCTACCTAGCTAGCTAGCTAGCTAGCTAGCTAGCTAGCTATCTATCTATCTATCTATCTATCTATCTATCTATCTAT